CATCAGCACCCTTCCTACAGAGTAAGGGGTTCGTCTAGGACCAGGTAAAGATAATACCTGTTCACTCATCCCTTCATTTAACCAATAATTATTGTACACCCATCATGTGCCAGACACAAAGTGAGAAAATGTAGCTGTGAGCAAAACTAGATGTCATGAATTTCAGAGCACTGATTAAATTTGACCATTTAGACCTGAACAAACATGATGGCTGAGGTGCCATGGACAATGATTAGTTTACAAGTGCCGTCATTCATATCTTCCAACCTAGGCCAGAGGGAAATTAGTTCAACAAGCCAGAAAGAAAAGATAGTAGCAAACCATGTAGCCTAGTAAGGGAGGTTGAGCCCAAGAAAAATGAAAGGCAGAAAGAAAAGAACCTCCATGTTTCAGGCCCATTGAAAGAGCATAGTTATGGGTATAACGCACTTAACAGGTGGTCATAGCATGAGTCTAGCATTGTGTAAGAAGTTACAGAAAAGTTAAAACCAAGTCAATGATTTGAAGTAGCTAAATTACCATGGCAGAACAAGATACACGTGAAAAGTGAGTTAGCATGGGAGATCATAAGGTAGCATACAGACCGGCACCGCGGCTCACTAGGCTAATTCTCCACTTTGCGGCGCCGGCACACCGGGTTCTAGTCCCGGTCGGGACGCCAGATTCTATCCCAGTTGCCCCCCTTCCAGGCCAGCTCTCTGCTGTGGCCTGGGAGTGCAGTGGAGGATGGCCCAAGTGCTTGGGCCCTGCACCCCATGGGAGACCAGGAGAAGCACCTGGCTCCTGGCTTCGGATCAGCGCAGCGCGCCGGCCGCAGGGCGCCAGCCACGGCGGCCATTGGAGGGTGAACCAACGGCAAAGAAAGACCTTTCTCTCTGTCTCTCTCTCTCACTGTCTACTCTGCCTGTCAAAAAATAAATAAATAAAATAAAAAGGTAGCATACAATAAAAGGCTAAATGAGTAAAAACAGGTAATATAGAAGTACCCACAGAAAGCTCCAGAAGAAGGAAGCAACTCTTTAAAGTTTCTGAATTGAACCTTAAATATGGGCAGGAACTGGGTCATGGAGAGGTAGGGAGAGGGATGATAGGAAAACATCATAGTAGAAGGAAACGGCAAAGAACAACAGGGCTGAGATGTGATTGGTAAATGTAGATTAAGGAAAATAAGAAGGAGTTTTAGATTCCAAGAGCCTACCATGAAATCCTTTGTTCTGAGAATAAACAAAAATTTACAATGATCAAAGAGTGAGTTTCTGGTCTTCGCGTTTGTCCTATTTCTGCTCCTTAGTGGCAGCGCCAGGCAACCATGTGAGTGGAAATGTGCTACCAAATGGTAGTCACTAGGCTAAAGTCTCAGGTAGGTGAAGGAGGAAAGCCCTGTTCCTATTAGGTCTCCCAGCTCCTCTTCCTGCAGGGGCTTTCTGTCCGGATCTCCGGGTAGAGCTTGCATCCTCTCTGCAGGAAGCAGAGTCTGAGACAGTTGTCATATCGGAAAGGAGATGACAGTTTCTGCGAGAAGGCTCAGGATAAAAACTGCAGGGCTTACCACTCTGCAGAGGTGTGATCAGTAAAGAGATGAGGAAAAAGCCTCAGGGGTCCGAGGGCAGTGACATTGCAGAGGAACCTGGAAAACCAACCACTCACATTGTTCCCTCCCCTCATCCACAGTAAGTGTCTACTGAGCACCTGCCACTTCATTATTAAGTAACCTCTCTACTGGATCACTTCCCTGTGTCGTTTCCTTGTTGTAAGAATCACATCAGGTTAGGCTATATTCCTTACACTCTATTATTTAATGTCTACAGTTTGAGAATTCAATGTACAAAAATATTTTAAAGCCTGTGAATTCTAACTCTTGACATCAGGCCAATTATAGCTTTATGACTCACAACAGTGGTCTACAAATTGTAGCCCACAGCCCATATATGACCTACCACCTATTTAGTAAATAGGGCTTGACTGGCACACTGCCACACCATTTGTTTCTCTACTATCTGTGTCTGCTTTGCCCATGGCAGAGTTGAGTGGTTATGACAGAGACCATGTGGCCCATGAAGCCTCAAATACTTGTAATCTGGGCCTTTACATGAGAAACTGCTAACAATTCTAGCATACGATATAGTCAAGGGTACTTTTAAAAGTTCATGGAAAACAGAATCAAAAGATACATTTATTTTGGCATAGAGAAATTTGAGATCCATGCACAGGTTTTTCACAGTGTGCATTTTTCATAAAGTTTTTGAAAATCCCTCATGTAGTTGACAATCACAACAACTGGGCTCAAACTTGCTGGTCAAAGTCATGTAATCTCTCAAAGACTCAGTTATATCACCTCAAAAACAGGAATATTAATGTCTGCTTTGTCTACCTTGTTATATTGAAGAGAGGATCAAATGAGATAGCATGTAAGTATTTATAAACTGTAAGTGTAGACCTCCAGTGATCTGGAGTTCCTACTCCTCCCTTTGCAACTCTGCAGCAGCTGTAAGGCACCATCCACCTCCAAAGGAAAAGGGAACCCAATCTTTCTGTTGATTGATCCATTACCTTACTTGAATTCTCAACCCTTCTCCCACTGTTGCTATAAGTGGGCTTCCAGTATGCCTCTGGCCCCAGCTAGTCTTGCTTTTTGCATTTTTGTCACCAAATTCACAACAAATTCAAAGGAAGGGAACTTACGAACTTACCCATTCCATCAATAGGTGGCAAAGCTTTAGAAGGGAGAAATCCAGATGCAGATATCAAAAGAGGATCACTATGAGAATGAATCAGAGATACGCTCAGATGTTTGAGGTCAAATGAGAAGACTGAAGATAGTGGCCAGAGGTTTATATTTGAGTCAATGAATAATAGGGAGTTTGTAAAGAACTGAGTAACGAGGTTAAACAACAGATCCCCAACAGGATCTCAGAGGTGGTGCAGGGAACCCCAAAGGCCACCATTCTGTGCATGGCTTTCCCTCCAGGCTCCATGTGACTCTGGGACGAGGCCTAACAGTTACCTTTCATGGCCTCCCCATCCTTCACCTCCCAGTTTTCTCAGTGATTAAGAACCTGGCTCTCGCCCTGACAGTAAGCTGCAGCCTCCAACTCAAAGGAAGCTCAGCAAGAGTGACCTTGTTCAACTCACTCGGCAGAGCACAGTGGATGTCAGTAAGCATCTCCGGAGATTTATGACTCTGAACCTAGGCTCCTGTTACTTAGTGATTCCGCTGAATTTTCCATTGAGCAATAAGAGTAGGATAACCGCCGAGCCGCTCAAGGTTAGCAGCCTTCTGAAGTCCACCCAGCACCAAAAAACTTCTTCCTAATGGTATACACAGGAGATTTATTGGGATGTTTTTGCAGGCCAGGAAATTGCTACATGATTTTGTCATTGACAAAGGAGCAAACGTCACTGGCCAGTTTCTGTTGGACTTTCTCCATCTTGTCAGCTCTTGAACTGGAAATGATGAAAATAGGCTGATTCCTTGTTCAGTTATCAGGTGGAAGGGCAACCCAAACAATATTCTAATTGCATTGTTTTCATTTCAGGGATTATTGATGGCAACTTTAGGGCACAGCTTATATTTGGATTTCCATTTCATTTCCTGCTCTTGTGAGATTTATTTGGATTGCTACTAGGGTTGGGCATTCAACATTACTCTTATTATGTTGATTCTAAACTAAGTGAGAGAAAATTGCTATTTCATAGGTAATTTGACTTCTACCAGCTTTGAAGGTATGTCAAAATTATTGATCAAAACTGGTTTTCTACATAGAAAGGAAACCTGTAGATATGGGCATCAGTACTAATTTCCATACAATATCTATCATTTACTCTTCCTTAAAGTCAGGGAATTCCTAGACCTAGCATATCTGTTCCATTGCCTTGTATGTCTGCCATAGCACAAAAGCAGTAAAAAACAAAACAAAACAAAACAAAAATACATGAGAAAGGTACCACAGCAACAGTAAGCACCATATCAGTAACAGTGGAAATGAATGCTCATGACAGCATTTTTACCACATTCCCTCCCATGGCAGCACTTAGGGCCAGTGACAGAGGGAAAAATAGGAGGGATGGCACCAAAGATTACCTTCTTTAAAAAGAGGAATGAGAAGAGTAAAGCTACTTCTAACAAAAGATTGAGATATTGGAAAGAGGAACCCTTTTTACTGGTTTTTTTTTTTTTTTTTACACCATCTCTCTTAAGTGCCTTTTGAAAAGTATTGACACTTCATTACAATTGCATTCAGTGTGGCATTTTGGCTCCCATAGGAGCTCAGGGTCTAGGGAAGAGAGGAAGTGCTCCCACATTTGTGAAAGAGTTCTGGGTTTTAGGAGGGAGGGAGGCAGCCTAAGGATTCCTAGGTTCCCGCAGCACCTCTGAGTCATTTATTCATTAAATCACTTGCTCCATTTGCTAAAAATAAAAGTCTGAATAATAACTGAATATGAAGCCTTGAAGAATGAAAAAGGAAACAAGCTCAGAAAGCCCCCTTGGAAACTCAAGTATAAACATACCCCTCATCCCTTCTCATGCCAAAGGCAAACTAGAACATTTGACACAGAAAGGTGAAATGACTTCCTCTAGCAGCTATGGGTTAGCAATAGAACCGATCATCAGTATTGTCCCTCATCAGGAAAGTGGCTCTGCGTGGCTGCAGACGGCTTTTCTGCATCCTGTGCACCGCCTCCCTCCCACCAGAGCCCTGTGGTCGTGAGCTGTCTGTGAAGCTCCCCTCCCTTCCCTTTCCCCAGTCATAGTTACAGGAATTACTGCAAGATTAACTCTCACATATTATATTTCATTCAACAGCGCAGCAACTCAAGGGTTTTGGCTTCTGGAACAAGAATAAAAGATCTTCTACAAAAATATTAAGTTCCTTGGAAAGACTCTTCTAAGACGATTTAGTGTGGCTGAAAAGTGTCAGATCAGCAGCCACAAAGTCTGCATGGTTGTTTATTCGTCCAGCAGGTACAGAATCACGAGGCTACACAAATATTCGACTAACCTGCAGATCCACTGTGGATGAGGATACCACAAACTCCATGCACAGAGGTACAGTGGTTCCTCGCCACTTCTCATGGTGTCATCTTCACACACGCAATGCCTTCTGGACATTTGCACAAGAACTGTGCCATTCCACTCTTCTTAGAATATCTAAAATAAGAGGGAAGATTCTGATGAATAAGCACACCACTTATTCTCACCAGAAGTGTTTATGCTCCTTTGTTTTAATTGATAGAGCTAATTTTTTTAGCACTTTTAGGTTTACAGAAAAATTAAGTTATTTATGTTTTTTAGACCTGTTTTTCCTCTTAAAAGCAATGATATGTTTTGCTAAAATGAAAGTAACTTGTTCTCCAGAGAGGGAGGCAATGTTTGAGAAGGTGAACACGGATTCTGGAACCAGATCCTAATTCCACCCTTATCAGCTCTGCGATCCTCAGTATGTGAATTTCTTCTCTCTGCTGAGCCTCAGTTTCCTCATGTCTAAAAGGGGAATAATAATAAATATAAACATGGGGCCGGCCTTGAGGCATGGCAGGTAAAGCAGCTGTCTGCATTGCTAGCATCCCATGTGGGTGCCAGTTTGTGTCCCAGCTGTTCCACTTCTGATCCAGTTCCCTGTTAATGGTCTGGGAAAGCAGCAGATGATGGTCCAAGTACCTGAGCCAGAAGAAGATCCAGACAGGAGACCCAGAAGAAGCTCCTGGCTCCTGGCTTTGGCCTGGCCCAGCCTGGGCCATTGTGGCCATACGGGAGTGAACTAGTGGATGGAAGGTCTGCCTCTCCCTCTCTCTCTACAACTGTGACTTTCAAAATAAATAAATATATCACTTCTCGGCCTTTTGGCAAAGATCAAGTGTAATAAAATAAATAAATACATAAATACAGTGTAATATCAAAGGTTGTAAGAATTAAATGAAAAAACAAATATAAGTACCTAACAGTATAGAGCACAAAGTAGAAGCTAAGAATTGTTTTATTCCAATTCACATTGTACCTTAGGACACTAAAAAATTGTGACATCAAAGTATACACGTAATCTGGGATTCTGATCTTTTGCATGGCTTTGCTCAGCCTGAGGCCTTGTGTACTAGACTTAAGAGGAACGAGAGGTCCTTGTGACCTGCAGAAAAGCAGGGAATTGGGGACATCAGGCTTTCCACCCACCTTGTTAGCTCAGTTTTTGATCGGCTCTGACGAGATGGGATTAGAGAGGAAAGCCAAAGAAAACTGAAAAATAGCCACTGTGCCCAGAAAGTACTCTCCCTGGCTGGGAGGAATATGGTGAAGGAAACTCAGAGCATGGAGGGAGCCCTGCTGAGTATAGCAAGTGCCCAAGTAGAGCACCCAGACACCCACTGGGGCCCATCCCAGCTGGCACCGATACAGTCTGGTAAAATGCCAAGATGGTCTTGGGAACCACCAGGAATGCAGGATACCAAGCTCCAGCCTGGTGAAGGGGAGACAATTATGGGCAGCAGAACCCGGGTATTGATGACACGTGATCTCATCCATACCTGTGTGCTATAGAAACTGAGGACAGTCAGGTCGTGCCCACACCCATGGCAGGGATGGTGGCTGCAAATCAGCTTGCTCATGTTGAGAGCTTCTTCCCACCCTGGATAGGAGAAAAAGAACAAGAACTTTGGAGGTGCACATGTACATGTGAGTGTGTGTTGAAGGGGAATAGGAAGGCAGTGTGCTAAGAATCCAAAAAGAAACAGAGAAGAAAGGGAGCAAAGATTTATTTGTGAACTAAAGGCATTTGCAATTTTTTTCTCCCACATCCCATCCAGAAAGATTTCAAGGCCAGGAAAATGAAAGCACCTGTCGGATGCCCACTGATTAAAGCAACAGGGAAACCCAGCAAATGTCTTCATCTTTTTACAACTAAGCACAAGAAGGGAAGGCTTTACTAGATGCCTGAATCATATGACATACGGAATGCTTGACATGCTTGATTCTACAAAGAGAAAATTCCAAATAATTTATAATGTAACGTTTTGAGAGTTCCAGTTTGGAGAAGTCTTGAAATCTCATAAACAGGAATCTACAGTTACAGCTTTTTTTTTAAATGTTAAGAAGTAAATGTTTCCCCAGACACTAATTAATACAATTTTGTATCTGCGACTTTAGACTTGAAAAGGCAATGGCTTAACTTCAAGGGTCAACTATTTTTGGATCCTCCAGCCTCTTTTCCTGTGTATAACATTTTGTGGAACCAAATGCAGCTCTCTGACAGTGATATGAGTCTTCCACCCCCTTGCTTAAACAAGCTGTTTAGCAGTTAACTTCCTTTCACTTCTCTCTCCAAGAATGCAAGTCCTAACATATCCTTTAAAGATGGCATTGCCAGTAAATTAGAACTTATCACCAAGTATCACACTTTGCTAGACAAAAAAAAAAAGCTGGGTTTGTACAGTTTCAAAATATACATTGAACTGAATTAATGATCAGCATAAGAGGATGGGATGGAAATGACTTTTCTTTCCATATCAGGCCAGATCCTGTCAGATGAGGTCAACTTACAATTTGCAAGCGGAAAAGAAGGCACATTCAAGGACAGGTCCATCCTCTATATCAGGCAATGGTAAGTAGTTTCCATCACTCCCTTCCACTCCCCATGCATAACCCATCAGAAACATATTACCCCCACGTATCCACTGCAATTATGGATGTGGCTAAAACACTACCAAGGCCTCTCTTGGATTTAAACTTCCTTCTCTTCAGGAGTACCTTGTTTTTCATCAACATGTACTTCATCCTTGAATCTTTTCCACCTTATAAAATCTTTCCTGCAGCTGCTACCTTCTCAATTATTCCCCTTCACAGGCAAACCTGGAAGGGTTACCCTTGCTCAGTTCTTTAACTTCTACTTTCCTCTGCTGGCATCCCATCAGCATGCCTCTGAAGCTGCTTTTGCCAAGTCAAAAATGTTGCCTGTATTATTTAATCCGATGATCCCTTTCTGTCTTTGTGTGACCTCGTGGCATGGTTTGGGCCCTACATAACCCCAATCTTTCTCAGGCTCTTCCCTAGCCTTCCTGATACCCTATCTCCTGAGTTCTCTCCTACTTTCTGCCATCACTGCTCCCCTTCTCTCAACCCATTAAAGACACTTCCAGGGTCGCTGTGCTTTGCACTCTGTATACTCTCTTGGATGGTCCTGCCATCCCCATAATTTGATGTTTTAGTTAGCACTGGACTACAGATGACCCACAATTGGGTCTTTTTGAACAACCCATTTGGATGTCTCATGATTCCTCAAACTTGGCATGTCAAAAGCTGAACTTGGTCAGAGTGATATTTTTTAAAGGTACATCAGTGTAATTTTTTTTATGTTTTTTTTTTGACAGGCAGAGTAGACAGTGAGAGAGAGAGAGAGAGAGAGAGAGAGAGAGAAAGGTCTTCCTTTTGCCATTGGTTCACCCTCCAATGGCTGCTGCGGCCGGCACGCTGCGGCTGGCACACCGCACTGATCCGAAGCCAGGAGCCAGGTGCTTCTCCTGGTCTCCCATGGGGTGCAGGGTCCAAGGACTTGGGCCATCCTCCACTGCACTCCCGGGCCACAGCAGAGAGCTGGCCTGGAAGAGGGGCAACTGGGACAGAATCTGGAGCCCCGACCAGGACTAGAACCTGGTGTGCCAGCGCCACAGGCGGAGGATTAGCCTAGTGAGCTGTGGCACCGGCCCATCAGTGTAATATTTTTAATGTACATTTTAAAAATGAGCCTGGTCATAATGATATTTTTAAAATATTTGCCATAACCCTTCAGTGTCTACCCATGCTGCTCTAAGTAAAAGCCTAAGGCATGATAATGTACACAAGGCCCTACCTAATTTCTCTGACCTTATCTCTGACTTCTCTCTTCGCTTGACTCAGACCACATTGGCCAAGAGGCTCCCAATGCAGATGGCTTCGCACTTGCTTTCCCCCTGCATGTTCCTCCCTGCCTTGCTCGCAGATACAAGTACTTGCTCTCTCATATCCTTGAAGACTTCAGTCAAATAATACCTCTGAGTAAGGTTTTCCATAACAAGCCTACATAAAATTATAACTCCTCAACCTAGCATTCCTCATCCTCTTTTCCTGATTTATCAATATTGGACATGCCACATACTTTGTTTTTTATTGTCTACTTTCCTCCTCTAGCCTAAAACTAAATTATGGCAGGAATTGTGGTGTCTTGTGTTCATTGTTATATTCTTAATGCTAGAACAGGGCCTGATACATAGAATGCAAGCAATAAAAACTAGGAACTAAATCAATGCATGCATCTCCAATCCTTCAGTCCTTCAATCCACTGTTCATGATTTCAGTAAATAACATTCTCATCTATCCAGTGACTCAATACAGAATCCCAGGGTGAGCCTTGACTTGCCTCATTTTCTTTTATTTCACATATTCAGTTCCCTTGCCAGCTAGAAATCCTCTTCCTCTCCTATCTGCTGCCATACAGTTATTTCCTACACACCTTTAAGTAAAACACTATTTTTACAAACCATGTTTATAATGTTTCCTTTTAAATAACCAGCCAGGCCTAACACGTGTGGCTCATATGGATGCCCAGCCAGCTTTGCTTTACTTGGACCTCTACAACTTAAATATAACGTTAGGAGAAGGAGGAGGCTTTCCTCTCTTTGTGGTGCCCCACAACACCCTTTGATTTTTGTTGAGTGAGTAAAGGACTGTGGATGAGGAATAAATAGAAACAAGCTTTCTATCTACTTCCATTTCCAGCACAAATAGAAATGGGTAAAATTTGGCTAATATTAACAAATCACAGCCTTGAATCTTCCTGAATTCCAGAAATACACCATCAAAAGGGCATATATATGCATGAAGAACCCTGAATCTGAATTTTCATGGTTTTTTTAAAAAGATTTATTTTATTTACTTGAAAGGCAGAGTTGGTAAAGGGGAGACAGAGATCTCCCATCTGCTGGTTCACTGCCCACCCCCCCAGTTGGATGCAATGGCTGGGGCTGGGCCAGGCCAAAGCCAGGAGCCTGGAACTCCATCCGGGTCTCTCACATGGATGGCAGGGTCCAAATACTTAAGCCATCCATATTCCACTCCTTTTTCCAGGCACATTAGCTAGGAGCTGGATCCTGTGACTATGACCCTGTCTGAATAAGATCAAAGTCGGTGAACTCAAAAGGCTTCCATAGCCTTGGCAACTCGTGACTAGAGCCTAGGGAGATTACTGACGCCATAAACAAGAGTGTCAAATTGTTAAGTCAACAACAGGAGTCACTGTGTACTTACTTCTCATGTGGGATCTGTCCTTAATGTGTTGTCCAATGTGAAGTAATGCTATAACTAGTACTGAAACAGTTGAAATCTTTACTTAATATATACTAAATAGATCTTCTGTATGTAAAGATAATTGAAAATGAATCTTGATGTGAATGGAATGGGAGAGGGAGCGGGAGATGGGAGGGGTGTGAGTGGGAGGGAAGTTATGGGTGGGGAAGCCATTGTAATCCATAAACTGTACTTTGGAAATTTATATTTACTAAATAAAAGTTAAAAAAAAAAGAAGTGGAGCAACTGGGATGTGGCTTAACAATACAATGCTGGCCCCCTGAATCTACATTTTCTTATAATTAATTTGGTCACTAATTATTACTTTGGACCTTAGTAGAACCTTAGATTTAATTATTACCTGTAAGAAATTCCTGCCAGCAAAAATATCTTGTAAAGGTTTTCAGAACAGTATAATAGACAAAAATAAGAAAATGCATAAATAAATTATAGTAGGTATAGTTATACTAGTGACTATACTGGTTTCAAGATTTAGATAAGGTTATATTTATGAAGTGTTTTTAAATGGCATGGGAAAATTCTTATAGTAAGTTAAATAATAATAAAAAGAATATTTATAGACTGTTATGAGTCATGTATTCTTTTAACAGCTAAATGTGTGTGTATGTGTGTATGAATTAAATCCTCAGAAAATATCTAAAATCTACAAGGTAAGTACTCTTACTACCTACATTTTACAGATGAGAAAAATTCAACCAGAGAGGTAGGAACTTCACCAAGACCCCCTGGCTTGTCAAATGGTAGAGTCACTTTAGAGCCCACACTTAATTATGCAAGAAGCAAAACTATATACAGACCACTGTGACAACCATAAAAATATACTTTTGCATAGAAAGAAAACACTGAATGAAAATATTAATTATGTGGGAAATTTTTAAATTTCTTCATTACATTTATATTTCTTTTCTACAGTTTTTGTAAGGGTCATATTTTAGGTATATAACTAGAACAAAGCAAGTAGTAGTATGAGAGTGCTTCAAAAGTTCATGGAAAATGCTTATGATGAAAAAATCTATGTGAGGATTTCAAAAAATCTTCTACCAAAATAAGCTTATCTTCTGATTACATTTTTCCACAAACATTTGAAGTACACTCACAGTTGAAAAGTAAATGAAAAAAATAGTTCATGTTTTAGACATATGCCTCAGTTCAACTGAGTATATATTATAGTCACAAATGGTCTGGACTATTTAAATAGAGTGCTATGGGAAGAAAAGAGCACCCTGATGGTATAATCTGCACAAGGAGCTGAAGAGGGTCTAAGAGGTCAGTGGTTCTCCAAGTGTAGTCCCCAAATGAGCAGGATCAGCTTCACCTGAGAAATGAAAAGTCTGGTGTCCCACCCCAGACACAGTGAATCAAAAACTCTGGTGATGGGGCCTAACAACCTGTGTTTTAATGAGCTCTTCTGGGGAGTACAATGCACAGTCAAGCTTTAAGAACTACTGATCTGAGGCCGGCGCTGCGGCTCACTAGGCTAATCCTCCGCCTTGCAGCGCCGGCACACCGGGTTCTAGTCCCGGTCGGGGCGCTGGATTCTGTCCCAGTTGCTCCTCTTCCAGGCCAGCTCTCTGCTGTGGCCAGAGAGTACAGTGGAGGATGGCCCAAGTCCTTGTGCCCTGCACCCCATGGGAGACCAGGAGAAGCACCTGGCTCCTGGCTTCAGATCAGCACGGTGCGCCAGCCGCAGCGCGCTGGCCGCTGTGGCCACTGGAGGGTGAACCAACGGCAAAGGAAGGCCTTTCTGTCTCTCTCTCTCACTG